AGCATAAATGCCCATCAGTAAATGATTGGATCAAAAAACTGTGGTACATTTACACAATGGCATACTATGAAGCAGAAAGAAAGAAGGAACTCCTACCTTTCGTGACAGCATGGATGGAACTGAAGAGCATTATGGTAAGTGAAATAAGCCACACAGTGAAAGACAAATACCATGTGATTTCACCTATAAGTGGAACCTAATTGACAAAACAAACAAATGAGCAAAATAGAACCAGAGACTTGGAAATAAAGAACAAGTTGACAGTGACCAGAGGGAAGGGGAAGAGGAGTAATGGGGAAAGAAGGGGAAGGGGCAAGCAAAGGAACACAAATGGAGGACTCATGGGCAGACAATGGGTGGGGGGTATTGACTATGGGAGTGTGGGGGATGAGGTAGAGGAGAGCAATGGGGAAGAAGGTGGGACAACTGTAACTAAACAATAAATTAAAAAAAGCAAAAAACAAAATAAATTTTAAAAATTAAAATGTCCTGACTGCAACCTTTCACTTCTGCCCACCTGTCTTCAGAAGTATCGCTGGAACCTTCAGTGCTTTGATTCTAACTACTATCTTCCAGTCTCCCAAGGCTATGCATGGGTCCAACCTGAATATCATGATCATTCTCCAGCTGCTCTAATTACCCTGTTCCTTGGCCCTAAGTAATCCATGTCCTGGCTGTCAGGCCACAGTTGTGGATCAACCCGGTGGTCCATCAAACTCAGTGGTCTGTCTTCTGCTCTTGCTCCAGAGGTGCTGGTATCTGCTACAAAAGTGTCTGGTTGTGCCTGATCTTTATCTTCAACCTCATCTGGGCTGTCAGATCACCTATCTCACTCCTATATCTATTAACGGCATTTTTTAAACTTGACAAATCTTTTTTTAAAGATATTTATTCATGTATGTATTTATTTTTAGAGGGGAAGGGAGGGAGAAAGGGAGAGAAACATTGATGTGTGCTTGCCTCTCACATGCCCCCAACTGAAGACCTAGCCTACAACCCAGGTATATGTCCTGACTGGGAATCGAACCAGCCAACACTTTGGTTTGCAGGCTGGCACTCAATCCGCTGAGCCACACCAGCCAGGGCAAAACTTGACAATTCTTATAAATCTCCTTAATCTAATAAATTACCCCTCAATAACCTTAAATTCTACTTTATCAATGAAATAGAGACCAGTAGGCATGAAACCACCTTAATGCCTTACACTTTCTACAAACTAAATCCTCATCCATTCCCGTTCATCTCTCCTTTTCTCTAGTAAAAGGGGTCTCTACTCCTTTCCAAGTCACATGTACCTATCTGTTCTCCACCCTCCTTGTCCAGTAAAAAAGTTCAAGATATTTAGAATGGTATGAAGTTTTCATTCTCCCCCAACCTTCCCTGTCAGCCTCAGCTCCCTCTGGTACTGTACATGAAATGGGTATGTTCCTCATTCCCAAAGTACAACCATGGGAATCCATATCTTAAGCAAAATTCATTCATTCATTTACCATTCATTGAGTACCTATATTCACTAGGTCATAATCTTACAGAAATTTTATTCCCCATACCCATTCCTCCTTTTTCTCATTTCAGACAATCATTTCTCTTTTATATCCACTCAGCAATTCTGCGCTCTGAGGTTGTGGACTTGCCCCAAGTCACAGAAAAGAAGCATTAGCTTCCACACTCATGGGTCACCTGCATTTTCTTCCTACTCCCACTCCTTGAAGACAAGGTGTCTCAATTTTTACATGTCTGATCTAACTCATGGTCTGAATCCCAATGAAACTTTAAACTAAGGCAGTCAAATTAGTGTTGTTACCCTCCTCCCTCCAGCAGTCTGCTCCCACCCACCACCAGCATATCCTTCAACAGGTCTGTGGCTGCTTGGACTATATAACCCCTCACTCCTGGTCTAGTGCTATCTAATCCATGCATGCTGACCCCACGATTCCCTCCTCCTAGAGAACTGGAATCACATGTTAGCAGGCCAGAATCTCACAGTCCAAATAAAGTTGGTGTGGGCATGACTGATAAGACTGATAGGGAAAGCCCTCTTCATAGGGTGTAGGCCTAAACCTGAAGGCATTGCTCAACCAATGAATGGATGGCAGCAGTAATGCTGGATTACTAAGTGGCAGCCCAAGTCAATACTTAGAGCATTAAGTAAAACAAAGGCACCAAAATTAAAAGCAAAAAAATTAAGATCCGTTTTTGATATATATTTTTAGATTTTTTAGAGGGAGAAACATCATTTGGCTGCCTTTTGCCCCAACAGGGGACTGAACCCACAACCCAGGCATGTGCCCTGACCAGGAATTGAACTGGTAACATTTCACCTTGCAGGATTACACTTAACCAAGCCACACTGACAGGGTAATATAATTTTTAAAAGCATAATCATGTTTGAAGCCCTTATGTTTCATATTTCCACTTTTGAGTTATATATGGATGGAGCACCAGTCTTTTTAGGGTTTATAGCCTTTAAAATCTTCATCTGGTCTTGGTTAGGTCTTTAGTGAATTGCCTTTAGGGTCTCTCTTTGGCCTTGTTCTATTCAACCTCAACCTACCACTTGGAGACAGCTGTCAAGATGAACAAGGCAAAATTTAAAAGGGACAAACATGAGGGCCTACTAGGTCCAAAGTGACAACTACATACATATTACAAAGTAAAGAAGCATGGATTGGGCAATAGCAAAACATGGAAAATTTAGAGGTTCCAGAGGAGTGATTCACAGTAAGCTGAGAACATGGTGTAACCACCAAAAACACAGGCCCAGAGGAGGTGGGGGTGAGGAAAAAATCCCAAATTACATGACAGGAGGCACAGATAAAACTGAGGGTACTCAGCCCAAAAACGCCTCAGTTGTTCTGGTGAGGGGATAGGGATTACTCATTTAATAGAGGGAGTGTATGGAGGCAAATTTAGCACAGGATCCTAGAGCCTGGAAATGTAGTGGCTTTGCTTGTGGAAATTTTTAATTCCTGTAGTCTCCCTCTTCCACATTGCCATTTCATGAAGAGGCTATTGAAGACACAAAGCAGACATCAATACTGTTTTACTTTTTTTTTTTATTCCATTGCTATAACTTGAAAATCGTTATATTTTGCCTGAATTGCAGCAGCAGCAGCAGCACTCTAACTTGTATGTTTGCAGTCTCACTCTTCCATTTATTGGGTTAGCCAAAGTTTGTTTAGTTTTCTTTCATAGGATGGCTCTAGTAGTGCTCAGCTATCTTTAACTTCATTAGACACAATTTTGTTAGACTGCATTCTGACAGCTGTCATATCAAGGTGCATTTAAAAAATTAGTTAATTTTGTGTGCAGCCATTTTTATAGTGAAGATGGAAGAAAATACACAACATTTTTGGCATATTATGCTTTATTATTTCAAGAAGGGTAAACACACAACTGAAATGCAAAAAAAAAAAAAAAAGATTTGTGCAGTGTATGGAGAAGATGCTGTGTCTGACTGAACATGGAAAAAGTGGTTTGCCAAGTTTGTTGGTACTACTGACATTTTAGCCAAATAATTGTTTGCTGAGGGGCTGTCTTATGCATTAGAAGATGTTTAGCAGCACCCCTGGTCTCTACCCACTAGAAGTCAATGGCAGGAGATAGCCAACATACTCAAAATACCCAAATCAATAAGGTTATTGGTGAAAATGAAAAATGTGTCTTATTTTGTGGAAAAAACTAAACGGACTTTTTGGCCAACCCAATATATTCCCATTATTACCAGAAATCACTACTCTAAAACTTTACATGGTCATTTTGGGTGGTCCTGCCTTCCTTTCCAGTCCTGGCTCTCTCCACGGCCTGATGCCCTCTTTGCCACACACCATAAAGTACCCCTTTAGGTTTGTTTTACAGACCTATTTTCTTCCATCAGGAATAACTTGCCCACCTCTTTGGAATGGTAGCTCTAATCACTTCCTTGCCCACATAATACTGTCTACACTTGTATTTTGAGCCTTTTATTATTGTTTCTTTTCTTGTTTTTATTTATTGATTTTGGAGAGAGGGAGAAAAACATCAATTTGTTGTTCCACTTTTTTATGCATTCACTGGGTGATTCTTGTATTGAACCTGCTACCTTGTTTTATCAGGGCCACACTCCGAGCTACCCAGCCAGGGCTATTTTGAACCTTTTAAATAAACCCTGATAGGCTTCTATCCCTCTACTTATTTAGATCTTTCCTTGTCTCTGTACTGCAAGTAACTCCAGGGCAGGTCCTGGTTTTATTCATCTTAGCACCTATCACAGTGCCTGGATCATAGCTAGAACTTAGTGAACAGCTGATGGAATGAAGAGTATTTTCTTTGTAAATTTCCTTCTGCAATGAGCAGTTTTTGTTATAAAAATTAAACTTGGTCTTTTAAAAAGGTCTAGAAATTAGAGCTACTTGAGAATATTTTCTTGACCTCCCCAGAGCAGCAGAGACCCTAAGAATGGACACAGGTTACTGTGAAGTGGTTGGACAGACCCAATTCTTATTTTGGAGGGTTTCAAACTCTTTGAGAATTTAATGAAAACCAGACCCTTTCCCCAGGAAAATGCACTCACACCCACAATTTTCTACCTTGGTTCCTTGACCCCAAGTAGCTACCAGTGTCTAGGGCATCCAAATCCACCTTCCACTGCCAGCTTCCTTCCCAGTCCCACAGGTAAAGAACCCCCTACCGCAGAGGCACTGGGTTCTAATCAGAACTCAAAGAGTGTAGGCAAGGTCTGGTACTGTATTTTCCTGGTTAGCCCCACTCATCCATTCTAGAGTGCTGCTAAAGCAAACTCATGACCTATGCCTAAGACCTCCAGGAAGATGGTAGATGCTGAAAAGAAATGAAAGTTTCACTAAAGAAGAGGAAGGCGAGCAGGAAACAAGACAGTTAAAAAACAGAAAACAACCCTAGCCACTAAAAGCGGTACAAGCCTAATTATTCAGTTTCTCTTCTGGGTGGCTACATCTCATTACATAGTTAACAGCCACCAAACATAAGGAAGAAGAAATGAGTAACAGCAGAAGCATTTCTTTTATTACCAAAAACAAGTGCTATACACACTCAGTGCCTCCAGCCTCATCCCTGAGGATCATATGGAAGTCCTTAGGTTGTAGGAGGAACCATTCAGAGGAAAATGAGTGCCTGGTTCACAATGCCTTGGCTGGCTATGATGAAAGGGCCATTGCAGGGACTAGTTACATGTCATCCCTGGGCTTGAGTAACCCTAAAGATGAGAATGGATGCAAGTTGACTAAGGATTTTAATCACTGTTCCAGCATTTCTAGGGGTTACGATTAAGCCTGATACTAGCTCTCTCTACAAGAACACACACAACTAGGGTGTCCCCCTCTAATGAAAATTCCTCAAGATCCCAAAACGTGGACCGGCAGAAAAGGAAAGTCCTTAGAGTCTGCTAACATGCAAGCTGGATTCAGAGTGGAGCACACTGCTTTCAGCATCACTCCAAAAGACATCCATTGGCAAGGGTTTCCCAAAGGGGCACTGTCACCAGCCTGGATGAAACCCTAGAATCTGGGTTAGGAATGGTCAGGCTCTAATGCCTTCATACCATCTGGACTTCTGGCTCCTCAGCTATTCCCTGAAGCTTTTCCATGATGCACCCTGAGGGGGACTTAGGGGCCTGGGGGGACTCTCCCAGGGCTTCAGATAGCACATAGTAGACAATCTCTTGGGCACTGGTCTGATTCACCACATGGATGATGGGACTCGAGGTGTCCTGAGAGGCTAAGAGGGCTGTCCCCTTACCACCTCTGCCTTCCTCTTCCTCTTCAGCCTCTTCCTGGGGTCCTGATTCCCCTGGCACTGTTTCTAGAATGATGCTCTGCAGGCTGCTCTCATTCAGTGATGCTCCCAGGCCCGATCCCTCTTGTGGTTGCTGTAGAAGTTGCTGTGTCAGCTCTACACTTTCATAGCGAACTAGCTGTAGCCGCATGTAGCCATCTTCATGCTCCTTGTACCTGGTGAAGTAGAAGTGCAAAGGTAGCAAACATGGGCAGAGGGCTGCAGGAATGACCTGCAGCGTGGCAAAGTAAGGAACAAATATAAGGAGTAGAAGAAGGCCTGGGAATATAAGTGATGGGAGTTGAAGACAAAAAAGGTCTTTATCAGAACATGAAAGGAAAAGCATCATTACTCAAAATGGAAATTTTTATGTAGAAACCAGAGAGGGCGGTGAGAGGAAGGGGAAAGAAATTATTTGTGGAGGGTGGGGGGTCACAGGGCTATGGACCTGGACCTGTAGGCTCTAGTTCTAGTTTTGGCTACAGGACTTTGGACACCATTAATTTGGTTCGATACTGTTGTGCCTTGGATTCAAAAATCAGAAAACCAATCTTTGCCCCACTGTTATTCTTTGGAGTTCCTTGAGCCTAAATGGAGATGAGACATCAAAGCACTGTCAAATTCAACCATTTTAACTTGTTGAAATAATATGGATAGAAAATGTTTTATAAATCTAAACAGGGGGTGAGATGGGGAGGGACAGTTGAGACATACCGAAAACGGGGGTGCCCTGAGGGCCACTTGAACTGGTGCTTCTTGCGAAGATGCACAGTGAGGTTATTGCCCCTTGTGAAACATTTGTCACACACATGACATTTATACCTTGGCTCTGAGTACCCCTGATGGAGAGGGGAGGGAGAGTGAGGTCAGCTTTTCACCCTGGGCTCCCCCACACTTCTGCTAGCCCTTTCCCACCACAAGCTCCACTCACTTCATGTACTTTTCGGTAATGGGACTTGATAGAGCAGAGAGCTCTGGCACTGAAGCTGCAGTTCTCAAAATCACACCTGTAGGCTGGCTCCTTGCTGTGGGTATCCAGGTGTTTCCGGAGGTCGATTAGATTCTTGCAGCTGCCAGGAGAGGTCAGGAGAGGTTGGAGGGCATGAGGTACCCTAGAACACGAGGCCTGTGATTTCTGGCCCCCGGTTCCCCTTACCTGTAGTCACAACAGTCGCATTTAAAGGGCCGGTCCTCGCTGTGGCGAAAGCGCATGTGGTTACGGAGGGAGGATGGCAGTGGACAGGTCATATCACATAGAGGGCACTTATAGTGGTTCACTGGGAAAAGCAGAGAGAAGGCTGTGATCTGAGGGCCAGTGGAACCTCGGAGGGTGGGCAGGGAGGTTGGTGGCAGCCAGCTACTTACCATGGTTACGCATGTGGTCCCGCAAAAGCCGCTCAGTGGCAAATCTCTTGGAACAGTGAGAGCACTGGAAGCGCTGCTCTGAGGTAGGGCAGGCAAAAGAAAGGGTGGACTGTGGAGGATGGAGGAGAGGTAGAAAGAAGGAGTCCCAGAGAGGGGAATCACCCAAGGAGACAAGGGCAGTTTAGGGAACTATGGATGGGTAGAGTATGAAGGAAAGAGCATAGGACTTGGCAATTGAGAACTGAATTAGAATCCCAGCTTGATCACTTATCCATGTGGTCTCAAGTAAGTGATTTTAAGCTCTCTTGAGTCTTTGTTTCATCATCTGCAAAAATGGGGGCGACAAACCTACCTCATGGGGTTGTTGTAAGGATTCACTGAGATAACGATAGGGCACACGGTAAGCCCTGAATAACAATGTCTCATAAGGCATTGTTACAAGACATTGAGTCGGCAGACTGTGGCAGATGATTGAGCCCTAAACGCAGATATAGCCAAGCTGCAGACACCTTCAGTAGACCCCTCCCCTGGGAATATGCCCCCAACCAGAACAGCCTGCACCCATTCCCCTTCTCCTGACAACTTACGATCCAATGAGGTCTGGCGACGGATGTGATCTAAGAACTTGGTGTTGTTGGCAAACATGCCCCCGCAAGTTGGGCAAGCTACCACCTTCTCCTGGGTATGGCTACGGAGATGTTCACGAAGCTTACAGTGGTCCTTGAAGGTACAGGTACAACCTGGGAAGGAGACCCAGTTCCGTTCCAGCAACAAACTCACAGAATAGGTTCTGGTAACCCCAAGTTTCTCCAGACAGCAGCCAACTTTGCCCCGCAGGCCCCATCCCTAGCTGCTCTAGCCCCTCAGCAATCCCAAGGTTTCTTTAGAGGCCAGAAATTAAGGAGTGGTCCTACCTTTCCAGCCACACAGCACCATGTGGTTGTCTTTACCAACTGCTTTGTATTCACAGCACAGGCTGTGCGCTTCTACATGCCGATAGAACCACTCAGGATTGTCGAAGGAGCTCTGTGCCAGGAGCAACTTGGGGTAAGGATTGAGGGTAGTTGGAGGGACTCAACCTATGTGTCCAAAGGGGGCTTCTTGGCTCTCCCAAATTAACTTGGTGGGGATGGGAACATTTGAGCAAGGGAGCTACCCAGAAATAAAGGAGAGATACTAGCAAGAATCTTGGGAATACAGGGGACTGTAGAGTCAAGGCATCTTGAGTTAAGATCCGCAACTTTTTTCCACCCCTATTACCAGCACCACCAACTGACCTCACAGTGCTCCCACAGACACAGGAAGTGGTCAGGGATGTCAGGAATGATGTTGCGGCTGTGGAAGTCCAGGATGCAGGGGCTGAGGTCAGCCTGGCTCTGCAGGGCCTGCAGCCCCCACTGCTTCAGCTTGGTGTGGTAGCAGTGGAAGTAGACATGGCGGACAAGATCAGCAGAACTGTCCAGAGAACAAAAGCCACACTCCTGCCATAAGCAGGAGAATTCTTCCTCTGTGGAAAGAGGTTTAGAAAGAAGAGTGATACTTTCCAATGTTCAGCTCTCCTTCCACCTGTGGTACTTAGCAGTAAGTGAGGAGGCTGGACTCTGACCAAATTACCAGGAGTTCATTCAGCAAATATCATGTAATGAGTAAAGAGTCCCAGTCTTTGCCCTTACATAGCTTTCAGCCAGGGAGAAAAAAAAATGCTAATCAAATAATCACATGGATAAATATAATACTGTAACCAGTCGTAGCAGTCGTATTACGGGGAAGCGGGGCACAGACACTACAAAATAAACAGAACTAATTTGAGCTAGACAGATGTCTTTACATGCCTGCGTTAAGATCTGAAGGGTGAGCATCTATAAACTAGGAAGGGAAGTGTGGTCTGTGCAAGATCCAGTGCCAAAAACTCAGAGGCAGCAGGTATGACAGGCAGGCACTATCCTGGCCCAGCTTCTACTGTTCCCTTAGGAGGATGCTGCCTCCTAACCTAACTACAAATCCTCCTTTTCCCCATATTCTATTCAAGATCTGTCTTCTCCAGAAAGGCCCATCAACTATTTCAATCCACTCCCTATCTCTCTAGCATCCCTCTCTAGGCACCATATTTTCAATCCTTTTTATGGGCATACTTGTTTTTGAAAAGTAAGCGCTTTTTAAAATAGAATAATCCCCTAATTTCTCTTTTGTGTACATATTATTACTTTCAAAACTATTAGTTATGTTGTTCAATCACTAGACTTTAAGCAGAATTTGAGGAGAGCTATCTCTGTACTTTCTATAGAACAGTTTTTCAAACTGTGTTGTGACCTATTAATAGGTGGTGAAATCAATTTATGGGATTGCAAACCACTGTTTTTCTTTTAATAAACACTTCAGAGAGCATTTAATAATAGGTAAATATTTTTTCAAGTACTTTTTAACTTTCGTGTACAGGGTTGTGATGTAAAATGTATTCCTAACTGGAGATCACAGTAAAGAGAAAGAAAGGGAAGAAACACTACCAGGGAATGACAAAAACAGTTACGAACATCTTGTACAATATAAACATAAAAGCAGGCACGAAGATCAACTGCTATCACAAACAATGCCATGACTCTCCAGACCAGGAAGTTCTTGACCAACAGACTACTTCAGTGGAAACAAATGGTCACTGACACCCTTCACCCTGGGAAGGCAACCTAAGACAGAAATTCAGAGAAAACTAGTCACCAGATGTCATCTTTTGTGTTTTGTTTTAGAATCCACTTTGGTGGTGACAAGACAACTGGTTTTGGCATGACTTACAATTCTTTGGATAACACAAAGAAAACTGAATCCAAACATACACTTGCAAGACAGGAAGCATGAGATGAAGGCCTCAAAAAAAACAACAACAGAGAAAGGCATGCAAGAACAGAACGAAGAAAGTTAGTGGACAGTAAAGATCCATGTTAATGCTATAAAAAGAGAGCTGGAGTTTGGACAACAGAAGGAGTAAAGATTCTTCAGTGACTTTAGTTGTGCTGATTATGCAGATTTTCATGAGAGGATTAATAAACTAAGAACTTTTATGTGTCTGGTTGTTTAAAATATTAAAAAAATAAAATCACAGTTATCTAATTTATGTATATACATACACGTAGAGGTCAAAAAGAATGTTCACAAAAGTACTGTCAGTAATTGCCTTTTGATAGGAAGATTGACAAATTCACTTTAAAAATCTTCGTCAAGTGAGTTTTCTATAAGAGGCCTATGTTTCTATAAGCAAAAAAAAAGCACAATTAGGAAATTAAACCACCACTCTCCCAGGCTGCCTTCTCCCTCTGCAGAAAGGAAAGTCAGATTTTCCATCTTCCTTGGGCTCTTTCCCCTTCCTATATCCTGCTCCCTTACCCAAGGGATCCTCCTCCTCTTCCTCTTCCTCCTCTGAGTTGTGCAGGTACTTCTGCAGGTGTTGAGTGACATGCTCACAGAACTCCTCCATGGCTGAGCACACAAAGGAGCAGGACCCCCACTCACACTGTAGCCCCAGTTTCTCCTTTCGGGGAACTTTCCCAGGGGGCGGCATGGCCTTCACCCTAGAAGAGGGGGAAGAAATCCACAGCTGCATGGATTATACCCAACTGTGGCTAGGGGTAAACACCTGGGCAGGCAGCCTACCTAGAACCAGCAGAGGTTCCTCCAGTGACCCATGAGAAATGCTGTGCTTTTTCAGTAAGGATGGAGTAACAGTTCTGCAAAACCCTAGAAGCTGTGTATTGGTTTTGGGAAAGGAGAGCACACACTAACATTATTTATAGCATGTGCCAGGTACTAAGCTAAGAATATGAAGAGACATTTTCTCATAAAGCTTCAGAACATTGTTCCAAGGAATTATTCATATGGGAGGCATAACAAAGCCCAGGTTCAAAGAGATGGCTTTGGAGAAGAACCAGAATTCAAAGTCAAGACTCCTGGGTCCACTACCTACTAGCTGTGTGGCTTAAGCCAATTAGCCCTTCTACTCCTGAACATCGTCAGCTTCAAAATGCGGTACCAAAACCTTTTGTTTTTAATTTCATACTACTACATGCCAAGCACCATACTAAACATTTTATTTACATTATGTCATTTAATCACCCTATGAGGTAAGCATTATTTTAACTTTAAACGCCTCAGATTCCCATGTAGCATGGGAATAATTATGCCCATCTCGTTGAATTGATTTATGAACCAAACATATTAAAATACTTAACACATAGTACATATTAAAACCCTTAGCATAACACACTGCTAGAACTCAACATGTGTTAGTTACACGTATCCACGCTTCTTAAGGTGAAATGATTTAAGCAGTAATTCTACAAAAAAGGTCAACCCGAAGGATCCTTAACACTTCATCAGGAATCATAATAAACAATCAGCAAATAGTTGAGTACACATAGTACCTCCAAGCACCGAATGAACCCTGAATGGTACTCAAGATTAAGGAGGGACCCAGGTTCTGAACCTCCTTAAGACTCACAATTTGGCTGAAGAGGTAAGACTCTGATGTGTGAAGACAACCACCAAAACAAAGCACCCAATGAGGGAAATCAGAGGAGAAATCCCAGTGGGCAGGCTAAGACGTAAAGGCTGGCCGGGACCTGGCCCCTAGAAAGACGGGTAGAGTTAAGAGAGAAGGAAGGAGACCGTCCCGGAAGGTAAACCCTTTTCCTCGCAGCCCCTCAGGCTTCCCGGGATTCTTTCTACCTAAGGTACCGCGGTGACCGACGAAGACCCAGAGGGAAAAGCAAGGACGTCCGAGTCAGGGTAAGGGACCCGGGACGCAGCGGGCGACAGGCCGACCAGCGCGATCAAGCTGCAAGAAGAAGCCTCGCTGAGACTACTCGGGAAGAACCTGGACTTGAAGCCAGCCCACGGATCAACCCCAGACGCAGAAACACCAAAGCCCGAACAACCAGCTTACAGGCGCAAGTCTCATCAGGTCTCCTTCCACTTTGCACCATTTCCGGAGGACGCTTGAGCGACATCAGCAACAGCCAATCGCCGGTCTTGTACCCCTCTAACAGCCAATGGCCGCTGCAACGGAGGAAACCAGTGAGAGCCAAAACACGGAAGGGGTGGGAGTAAGGGGCGGCAGTCGCCAGGAAAAGTAGCCTTGAGGCTGCTGCGGATTTCGCAGCAAAGCTCACGCAGGGATCAAAAGGACCGAATTCCCCCAACAGCGCATACTCAGCGCTGGGCCCCACAAGGGACAGCCGCAGAACTCCGGCTAACTGCAGAGTGGGGTCTACCCTCCTTCTCTGGCTCACTGAATGAGATGGCTGTGTGGGCAACGAGGACTGGTTTGCGAGCTGGGTCCCCTGTGCTGCCAGCCGTGCTCAGCCGAAACAGCATCCCACCTCTATCCTTCATTTTCTCTTAAATACTGGTATTCCTGTGCCAGCCTCTCTATGCCCCAACAACTCTGCCTCCTATACTAACAGGCTCAGTGAACAACTATGTTGTTCTCAGTGAGCATTCACCTGCTCCTTCAAGTCAGAAACCCGGCAGTCATCCCTGATTCCTCCCTTAGCGGTCACATCCAATCCATTATCAAGTCCTGTGAATTCTACCTTCTCAAACACTGGATCTCTCAAATTCATTCCCCATTCTTCATCTACTCTGTCTCTCTCTAGTTTAAATGAACTAGAAGTAATGTCTATACTAACCTAAACTAGCTCCTTTGAGCGCACTCTTGCTTCCCTACAAACCAGTGATTTTCAACTGGTATGCTGCAAGAATTTTTAAAATGTGCATTACCTGACTATTTAATTAGGGGCATTGACCTCTTTTCCCTTAGATTGTTAAAAAAAAAAATAATAATAAGACAATAGCTGCCCTGGCTGGGTAGCTCAGTTGGAGCAGCAACCCAATACACCAAGGTTGCAATTTTGTGCCCAGTAAGGGGGCATACATGAAGCAACCAGTGACTGCACAAATAAGTGGAACAACAAATCCATGTTTTCTTTCTCCCTCTTCTTCTCTCTCTTAAAAAATTAGTAAAAAATAACAGCCAACACAATAGCCACCTGGTGTGAATGAATCAAAATTAAACCTATTTTTGGTCAGATAGGCAAAAAAAATTACATTTTTTGGTGTGCCACAGAAATTTAGTGATTGTTTATGTGTGCCATGAGATAAGATTGAAAAAGATTGCTCCAAATGATTTTTGTTTCCCATTTCTATACTTGTGCCTAGAAATATGACAGAGATCTGCCCTGATTGTTCACCTTTGCAAACAAAACTTTGAAGCCTAAAGAAACTATATTAGGCCAGTTCTTTTTTTTTTACTAAATATTTTTTACAGATTATGCTATTACAGTTGTCCCATTTTCCCTCCCCTTTATTTCTCCCTGCCCTGCACACCCCCTCCCACCCACATTCCCCACATTTAGTTCATGCCCATGGGTCATACATATAAGTTCTTTGGCTTCTACACTTCCTATACTATTCTTAACCTCCCCCTGTCTATTTTCTACCTATCATTTATGCTATTTATTCTCTGTACCTTTCCCCCCTCTCTCCCCACCCACTCCCCTGCTGATAACCCTCCATGTGATCTCCATTTCTGTGATTCTGTCCCTGTTCTAGTTGTTTGCTTAGTTTGTTTTTGTTTTTGTTTCAGGTGTGGTTGTTAATAACTGTGAGTTCATTGTCATTTTACTGTTTATACTGTAATCTTTTTCTTAGATAAGTCCCATTATAACATTTGATATAATAAGGGCTTGGTGATGATGAACTACTTTAAGTTGACCTTCTCTGAGAAGTACTTGATCTGCCCTTCCATTCTAAATGATAGTTTTGCTGGATAGAGTCATCTTGGATGTAGGTCCTTGCCTTTCATGACTTTGAATACTTCTTTCCAGCTCCTTCTTGCATACAAGGTTTCTTTGGAGAAATCAACTGACAGTCTTATGGGCACTCCTTTGGAGGTAACTGTCTCCTTTTCTCTTGCTGCTTCTAAGATTCTCTCCTTCATTTTAATCTTGGGTAATGCAATTATGATGTGCCTTGGTGTGTTCCTCCTTGGGTCCAACTTCTTTAGGACTCTCTGATTTTCCTGGACTTCCTGGAAGTTTATTTCCTTTGCCAGATTGGGGAAGTTGTCTGTTATTTGTTCAAATAAGTTTTCAATTTTTTGCTCTTCCTCTTCTCCTTCTGGCATCCCTATGATTTGGATATTGTAACATTTAAAGTTGTCCAGGAGGTTCCTAAGCCTCTCCTCATTTCTCTGAATCCTTGTTTCTTCATTCTGTTGTGGTTGAAAGTGTAGTTCTTCCTTCTGGTCCAAATCGTTGATTTGAGTTTCGGTTTCCTTCCCTTCACTGTTGGTTTCCTGTGTATTTTTCTTTATTTCACTTTGCATAGCCTTCACTTCTTACTCTATTTTGTGACCATACTCAACCATTTCTGTGAGCATCCTTATTATCAGTGTTTTGAACTGTGCATTTGATAGGTTGGCTATCTCTTCATTACTTAGTTGTATTTTTTGTGGAGATTTGATCTGTTCTTTAATTTGGGCCCTTTTTTTTTTGTCTCAGTGAGCCTATTACATAGTAAGGGGCGGAACCTTAGGTGTTCACCAGGGCAAGGCAACCAACAAAGCTGCATTGTCACTCTATGTGGGGGAGGGGTCAGAGAGGGAACAATGGCGCTTGCTCTGCTCTCTGCTGGTTTTTCAGTCACTTTCCCCGCTACCCACAAGCAAATCGGGACCTTCTGGTGCTGATTCCCAGGTGGGTGGGTTTGTGTACATTCAAGGACCCTATGGATCTCTCCAATGAACTCTCCTGTGAGGCTGGGAGTTTCTCCCGCTGCCAGCTCAACTCCCACAGTGTTTTTTTTAGTCAGAGGTTCTTGAGGCTTTATTTCCCTGTGCTGGAACCCTAGGTTGTATGGTCTGTCTTGCCCCCCAGTTGTTCCTCCAAGTTTATCTGTGCACGAATGTGGGACCACCCGCTCTGCCATCCGCCACCTTGCCTGCCCTGGTTCTCCAGCTACTGCCTTGCCATAAGTCCTCTCCACCCAGCTGTCCATCTCCGCCCCTCCTACCAGTCTGGATGAGTGTTTTTTCTTTAACTTCTTGGTTGTTGGACTTACATACAGTTCGATTTTCTGTCAGTTCTGGTTATTTTTTGTTTTTACATTTGTTGTTTTTCTTTTGGTTGTGCATGGAGGCACAGTGTGTCTACCTACACCTCCATCTTGGCCAGAAGTCTCCAAATGATTCTTGATACAGTACTCAAAGTGATCTTTACAAAGAGCAAATCTACTTTGAACACTCAAAGACATTCTGTTGGTGTCAGAGCAAAACCCCAAAACCATACTGAGGCTTTCCAGACCCTTCAACATCTAGGTCCTGCATGCTTCTCCAGCATGTGTCTTGGGTCCTTCTCTAACCCACTTCTTGCTCTCCAGACCCAAATTTCTTTCATTTTCTCCAACACATTTAGCTAGTTGCCTCTTACCTCTCCTGCCTTGTAATTGCTGTTTCCTCTCCCTGAAACAACTTCCACTTCTCCCCTTCCCACATGTACTTTTCTGATTCCTATTCATTTTTAAAAATTTATTTTATTTTTGTAAAGATTTGTTTTAGACAGAGGGGAAGGGAGGAAGAAAGAGAAGGTGAGAAACATCAATGTGTGGTTGCCTCTTGTTTGTCCCCTACTGGGGACCTGGCCCACAACCTATGCATGCGTCCTAGACTGGGAATCGAACCAGTGACCCTTTGGTTTGCAGGTCAGCACTCAGTCCACTGAGCCACACCAGCCAAGGAGCCAAGGCAAGGTGCTTCTTTTTATATATATGATTTCTATTTTGTCCTTTTTAAAAAAATTTATTTGCTTACTTTTGGATAGAGGGGCAGGGAGGGAGAAAGAGAGGGAGAGAAACTTCAATGTGTGAGAGAAACATCTCTTGGAATCTGCAACCCAGGCATTTGCATTGATGGAGAATCGAACTGATGACCCTTGCTTTGTGGTACAAAGCCCAACAATCTGAGCCACAGTGGCCAGGACAATGAAGATGCTTCTTTTTCCAAGAAGTTACCCTTGACATTACTTCCCTGTATTTTCCCATTACTGCTCTATTGTTATTGTAAAACAGTCAGTCTGAGCACCAGGGAAATCTCTGCCCTTTGGCCAGTATGGCAGGGGGAGATTCTTATACTGAGCAGGCTGAAAGTTAGAAACAAGATTGGACAGGGCAAGCACAAGCTACAAAGATAAATGGATTAGGAGGGGGAAAAAACAACCCCCCCTTCCTTTTGAGAACTGTGGGCTTGAGCAGGAAGATTGAGGTGGCCTTTGAGACAGGAATCCACTATTTCCTAGGCTGTGTGGCACCTGAAGAACCTCTTTCCTTTTGCACCCCACCCGCCTCACGAGTTTGGCTTTTGTGGCAACAGGCAGCCGAACTTTGGTTTGTTTTTCTTTTTGTTTGGTAACAGTTTTGGTAACTCCCAAAGGGACGGAATGGACTTCAGTAAGTCCTGGAGGGCCCAGGCTTGTGACAGGCCAACCCCAGGAGACTGGGACTATAGGGATTTCCCAGCATCTACCAAGAGCTTTTCTGGGGGAGTTTCCCTGTGCTCCTGTTCAAGGCACCAGCCACTACAAAAACACCTGGCTGGTGAAACAAAACAGGCTGGGGAAGAGACAGACTCTAACAATGGGTAAGTCAAACTGGTGCACAGACTTGGATATCCTCTACCCCTGCCACTTGGGCCTTGTGCAATTTGGGTTTTGTGCCACTAGGGTCCAGTAAGGACCTTTTGCAGTACCACTTGGTTGACTATCCCTGCTGCTTGGGCTTTGTGCCATTTGGGCTTTGTGCTAGTTGGGTCTAGTTAAGACTATTTGCAGTACCAGTTAGTAAGCTATTCCTATCACTTGAGCTTCGTGCCATTTTGGTCTGATT